AGATAGGATGCAGTATTCAGTGGTTGTACTGACCTGAATAAACAGGACAAGGCAATAACTGGCCAATCTGTACGTTGCACGGGCAATGATTTATTGGTACGAGTGGACAAACAGTTGGAGCCGCTGAACATGGACATGGAACGCACTGGCGCACTGGAAGTACCATTTTGATCGTCTTCGGTCTAAAAATAACAGCGGCCATTGACGGAGCAGATGAACTCTAGCTAAAATAAGTATCATTAGCTAAACCGCGTAGATTGATAGCTTAACAAAAGGAAGTTTTTTAGTAACCTGTCTGAGTCCTCCACGATCTTAAATTTCTTTTCGCCATGTGAGTCCTCCACGATCTTAAATTTCTGTCCGCCAGGTAAGTTTTCCACGATCTTAAATTTCTTTTCGCCATGTGAGTCCTCCACGATCGTAATTTTCTGTTCATCACATTTTACCTAAAATAACTACTATTGCCTCAAAAATTACCCCAATAATCATTATTTAGTTTTCAGTTTAATAACTAGCAATGCCCTTCTCACTTTCGATTTTCGCATTAACAACCTAAAGTCAAGACAACCTGAATCTTGAAACTGTTCTTCTTGCGTTGAACAGCAGTACATCAAGCTTCCGAAGTTTTTATTTCGGATCTGCTAAGGCGCCCGGTGATGCGAAACGTGGTCATTTACTAAAATGAGGATCAAGCTATAATAGGAATTGTCAACCAAAAGGAACTTTCAGGTTTTCAGCTCTGTAAGTAACAAAAAATTGTTTCCTAGCTATCATGATTTCTCAAATGGGAAGTTAGATATGCGCAGACACTGGCTCTAATGCTTTTTTTTTCATAAATCACCTTGGCAAATACGCATAAAAAAGATAATATTTTGCAAATATTTTTCAAAAGAGGCACTGCGGAAAATTTAAGCTGATGAAAAAAAGAATTTTTGGGAAAAAATGCATAAATATTTAACAAAAAATATCAAAAAAATTGAAATAAGACGACCGAGGATGATAGATCAATCACTGCGTGCATCGATAAGCAAGCCCTGATGCTGATTTTTTTTTTTCATTCCTTAGCCGTAAGTGCAGGCAGACACATATAAGGATGTAAAACAAATTGAAGATGTATCAGCCAATCTTCTAAATCATTGGCGACGCGCATCGGGCGGGCCCGTGCGATCATGCGTTTTTGCAGTATTTCGTGCTGTAATGAGA